CAGGGGCGGGACGCTCTGTCACCGGTCCAAGCAGCCGTGAGAAGCCCCCTTGGAGGCCCCTCACGCCTGCCCCGGGCATCTCCCCGCTGCACCCCGGGCCGCTCGCACCGGCACTGCTCCCGCTCGCTGCCGTCCACCCCGCAGCCCGCACACAACGTGCACTGCCTCCCTTTTCGTAGGATCACGGCCTGCTTTGTGTTGGAAGTGACCTTAAAGCTCACCCAGCTCCAGCCCCTGCCACGGGCAGGGACAGCTTCCACTGGAGCAGCTTGCTCCAAGCCCCTGTGTCCAACCTGGCCTTGAACACTGCCAGGGATGGAGCAGCCACAGCTTCTCTTAACCTTGCAGACCAGGCAGTCCTGATGCCACACTGACTCTGTCCCCTGAAGCACTACGAAAAGGGGTTAAAGCATCCCACAGCCAAAAGCCGGGGATGCCCCAGCCGCTGCCCGCAGTGAACAAGCAGATGAGGTGAAACAGACCTGCCACAGCCAGGCCATCCACTGAAAGCACACACAGCAGCACGCACACCCTGCACAGCTGACAGGGAACAACGTCTGCACCAGCAGCTACACAGGCAACACAACTGAAGGCATCTATACAAGCTTTTTCTTTCCCTTCCACCACAGAGCCGATTTCGCCCCATCAGCCCAATTCAGTGTTTGACTTTAGCATGAATGACTCCTGAGTGAGCAGGGCTGCAAGATCCTTCTTTGGCAGCCTCCTCTTAGCAACCCAGAGGATTCTGCAGCACTCATCTCCAGTGAGCACGTTCACAGAGCAGTGATAAAAGCTAATGTGTGGCGTATTACCACTATTAGCAGCAGCAGCCTCCAGAATGCCCTAGAAGACTGGAGGGTGGCAGTGAGATGCGGACACTGGAGCCTGGTGCCAAGCACAAAGGTTGGCAGCAGCAGCTCCGTGGCTGAAGGAACAGGCTGCACTCAGGATTCCCCAGCTCAAAGCCTTGCCTTTCTCACACTGCAAACTTCAGGTTCACTGAAACTCAGTGATTTCAAAGCAAAGCAGCTACTTTGTCCAGGACCAGAGCTAAGGAGGTGCAATCGCTTTCCAGCACTCTTATTTCCAAGGGATCAGAATAAGCACCTGCTCAGGCACTGGGAAAAGCTCTCCAGCTCTATTCTACTAGTACCCACCTCCCCAAAGCCACCTTCTGCCTGTAAAGTCCCAGTCCGTGCTGCACAAGGCTGGGCACTGCACCAGCTCTGCATCACCAGGGAGCTTGCTTTGCTCAGTAGCACTGCTGAGGTGCCAGAATTCCCAGCCCAGGACTGCTGCTGGAGCAGCAGGTCAGACAAGAACACACTGGTCATCATTCAACAGAGCACACCAAAGCCTGGAAGAGTTCCTGGACAGAAACGTCATGACTCAGGACCCCATGTTTGGGCCAAGCTGAGAGACAGAGAAAAGCCTCAGGGTTCAAATGAGGAAGGCTTCCTGACAAAGCCACTGCTCAAGTGACCTTACAAGAGGCAAAGAGAGCAGTGCTGCAGCAGTGGGCTGGCTCACAAGCTGCCCCAACACACATTGCTCTCCTAGCACAGCTCCTAATGCAGGTCTTTAGCAGAGGGTCCAGGGATTCCCCTGGGGACAACTCCACAGCAGCCTTTGGTTCACTTTCTAGCTTCAGACACAGGTAACTGTCTTATGAACTGTCCTATGTAGGAAGCCTACGGAGGATGTAATATCCATGCTTTAGCTTTCCAATTTTAGCTTTCAATTTAATGCAGCTGTAGATACACCCACCCTCATGTATCCACAGTTTTAGTCTTGAGCACAGCAAATTCCCTGCTGGGGCTCCTTCTAGTCAGATCCTCAACTACTCCCAGAATATAAGAAACAAGAAAAATAGATTTTAGAAGTTTGACTACTCTTACGACAAGAGCTTGCAATAAAAATTCCCTTTTATCAACCCTTAAATACCTTCCAGCTTTCATCAAGTATCTCCTTGCACTATGACAGCACCTCAGTAAAGGCATATACAACTTCTAATCTTTAATTCCAGCTCTGAAAGACTTGCACCACAGGTAAGAATCTGTAAGTAAGGACCTTTGAAACATTCACCACTCAAGTTTCTTGTCCAACTTCAAACTGGAGAGACAACACAGTTGCTTAAGCTTTGATCTCTTAGAACTAGGTTGAGAAGATCATTACAGTGAAACCTGGATGTCTTAATGAAGAGCACCAAATCAGATACACAAGACTGATGATCAGCATGTCCTTAATGTAAATACTAGTGCAAGTGTTTAAAACGTCTGCATCTTTACATTATGCCCCTTTTGAGCACTGCTGTCTGGTGCAGCAAGCTACAGCCTGTCTCAAGCAAGTCCCTTTTAAAGAGACTGACTGCATTTTCTTGGTGTTACCAGGGCAGACAAACATAACCCCAGAGAGCCTGTAGAGCTGTGAGGATAACCAGGTTCCTGTGTGCACCTCCTCCTATGATGAGGCAGCAGCAGGCAGGCTGCAGCACTCACACAGGTACTGGACATCCTCCTTGCACCCCAGTAGGTACATGTGCACCTCCATGCCTTTACTGGCAGTTTCACAACACAGACCAAGCCCACCACCAAGAACCCCAGGGGGAAGTAGGAGATGATCAGAACCCAGCTGTCTTCTTTCACAGTATTGAAATGCTATTGAAATTGGGAAGAGGCCTGATAACACATAGCCCACAGCCCTGTCCTCTACAGGAATCAGCCTCTGGTCTGGGGGATCACTGCTTCCCCCGACTGCTTGTCACCTACCCTCCACAGCAGCCCACACTGTGCAATGTAGACACAGGTACTGCCCTACCATATGCTGCCCATAAAACTGAAGATCAGACTCTCATGGGCAGATGTACCTGCACAGCCAGCTCACTGTTTTCAGTGGACATTGCAAATGCTTTTGAAATGGTGCCTTTTGCATTTACAATCCACACCCCATCAGACCAGAGAAGTGAAGCACAGGGCTAAAGCCCAGATCAGGACTTCAGCCACTGCTTCTCCAGCGGACAGAAGGCTGAGTTAGTGTGTGACTATCTGCACAAAGAACCAGCAACTCATTAATTTTGCAAGACAAATTGAAGAGGACAGAACCCCCACTCCTCTCATTAACTAACCCATCTGCAAACAGTTTAACTTCCACTTGTTTAAAGGCAGCTCATATCAAACACTTCAGTGTCATTTTGTGCCCCCCCTTCTTCCTCTCTCCAGGTGGCAGCCTGGCATGGAGACCAGGAGAGAAGGGAAGGATAAACTCATTCTTTTGTGAGCTCTTCCAGAGGGACTCAAATTCCCCATTCTCAACCTCAAACCCAACTACAGCCTTCACAGGACTTGATCCGACAGCCTGAACATTAATCACCTTTCAAAGCCAACAGCAATCATACTTAGTATTTCTCCCCTCCCTTCTTAAATCTGCTCTGATAGGAAAACACACTGATGACTTTTCACTGCAGAAATTAAAGTGGATTTTTCTTGAGCAGGGCCACATGCCCGTACAGCCTTAATCCTTCCAGCTCACATATGTTACTGTAACTTCCACCGCACTGAATCCAATTATGCATCCTCAATCCACTAAATATTTGAGGCTGTTTGCACAGGTTATCCAGAGCAAAAGTATCAGGTGAGGAGATAAACCATGCCCTGGTGCAGCACAGCTTTGCCACCTGGCTTCTGCAGGAAGGTGTGTAGTGTGGGGTGGTGGTAGGGAAATTAAGTGTCACAGAGTGACTTTTACAGGCTCTGGTGAATAGTTCAGTCTGGACTCAAACAGGGAGGATCTATACAGGAGACAAGAACTGACATACAGTTATTTGTAAGCGCCTGGTGGTTAGCAGTTATCCATTAAATGCTTTTTAAATTATATTGCTCTGGCAGCATGCACAGCTACGAATGAGCTCACGGAGCAGCAGGTCTCCCATGCATTACACATCAGGCTGGAGCAGCGGATGAATAACCTTGAGCTAAGTAGTCAGAAGCGTCCACAAATGTAAACTGCATGCACACATTAAGCAACCGAGTATCCAACTACTGACTCACACACAGCTGCGAAGCGAAATGCAAGCTCTCCCAGCAGCTGACTATGTTTGCTGGGACACCAGCTATAGCCGATCAAGTTCCACAAAGGTACCTGTTGGCCTCGGAGCCCTCCGTGGTTTATGCAACCCCACCATATTCTTCATATAGTCAAGTCATATATAACAGAAACCAACGTTACCACCTGTACTGACAAGGACCTGGCAGGGGCTGCACAGGGTCATCCTGTCCTTCCAGACCTGGCACACAGCATTATAGTTATGCCTCAGCACTTCAAGGGCTAAGTTACAGATCCCAGGGCCCTCAGCTATACCAAGAACTCCTACGCTGCCACTACAGAAGTGGAATAGAAATAGAAAGCCATAGCTGCAAAAATAGCATATAGCAGCTTCGCACTTGCACCTTAAAGACGAGCTTTTAGGTTTTCCATGACTGCAACACATCTCATCCTTCAGACAACCTCCTTCTGAATACCTGGTACCCCTGCAGAGCACACTCATGTAAATTATCTTACTCTAAAAGACAAGCAGGCTAATTCTGATCACTAGGCAGGCTTGCTTTTCTCTGCACGTTCAGGAATGTGTAACTTCATAGCACCAAATTCCTGTTGGAAGAGCAATTACCAGCTAAGTAATTTGGACCCTCTGGAGTCAAGTCTGCCAACTTACACGACTTGGCAATCTGGCTTGTTATCATCCCACATGATCGGAATTTATTTTCGGATCCAATGCCACATGCTGTGGGGTTTTTTTTTGCCTTCCCCTTTTCTTCCCTTCCTCCCCCAAGTGGCAAGGTACAGCCTGGAATTGAGAGATCCTAATTCCTGTCTCAAACACACATCTGCACGACCTGAGGTCAAGCTCCATACATTTGCAGAGCAGTATTAGTCCTATCAACAGCATCCTGGAAATGATCCCGCCTTTCTGAACCTCTTAATGAGGACTGGAGGAGGAATTAAGAGTTACACTGACTTACTGGTCAAAACCAAGCGCACATATCACCCGAGCTACACCTGCAATGAGATTCAGAGCCATTCCACCTGAACTCTTGGGCCAGGGTAAAGGCAGCTCCAGGCCGGGCTGCACCACCAGGTACCTTCTGCCACGAGCTGTTCTCATAGGCAAAGGAAACGGACTTTTCAGTCCTGCTCTGGCCAGGGGATGCCAGTTTGCTGCGCTGCTAAATGTCAGCCTCCACACTGAAGACAATAAACGCCCCTTTCTTCTCGAGGCGAGGGAGAACCCCACCACCACCCTGACATCGGGGCCGGGGTCCGGGGGGAAAGAACGCGTCCAGCTCAGCGCTGCCTCCTTCCTCCAGCACACAGAGGCTGCCCGAAGGCCTCCCGCAACTGCCCGGGGAGCCCAACCCGCTTCGAAGCCAAGCACCCCCCGCCCCGCAGGGCCCGGCTCTGCCCCCGGGGACACAGCGAAGGCGGCCCGGGTGGGAGCACGGGGCACCCCCTCCCCGCCCCGCAGCTCCCCCGCGGGGACCGAACCGCGCGTGGGAAGCGGAAGCGCCACCTGCGATCACGGCGGGGCGGCGGCACCGGCAAGCGGCGGCGGCGGCAGCAGCAGCAGCAGGCAGGGCAGGCAAGGCAAGGCAGGGCAGGGCGCGGCACCCCCGCCGCGGAGCCATGCAGGGCCCGGCCCCCCGCCCGCCCGCCGCGCCCCGGGCAGTCACTCACATTGCTTGAGGAGCTCCAGACACAAAGCCATGGGAGACACAAAGAAGGGGCGGAGGGGACCGGAGAAACAGGGAAGGGGGGAAAAGGGAGCGCTCGGTCGAGTCCCGCGGAGGGGAGGACGGGCCGCACCCGGTGAGGGGAAGAACAGGCCCGGGGCCGCGTCCGGCTGCTCCTTGCGGGCAACGGCGAGAGGAGGGAGGAGACGCGCGGAGGCCGCCGCCGCACTCACCGCGCCCGCCCGCCTGCTCCGGCTGCGCCCCGCGGGCGGGGCCGCGCCTTAAAGCGGGCCCCGCCCCGCCCCGCGCGTCACCGCCCCGCCCCGCGCAAGCGCGTCACCGCCCGGGGGCGCGCCCACCGACGGGCGCGGTCACGCGCGGTCACTCCCGTTGGGTACCGGGCACCGGGCACGGCGCAGGGGGTAACGGCGCGGCCCCGCGTTGGGGCCCCGTAACGGGCGAGCTCGGCATCACGGTTCCGGGACCGGCCACGGCCACGCACCCGCAGCGCGGTTGCTCCCGCAGGAGCGCGGGGCTGGCGGGCGGGGAGGGTTTCCAGCCTGGAGACAATGGATGGAAAAGCAAAGCCGGGGGAAGCGGGTGTTTCCCTGGGCGGGGGCTTCCCGCCGGCAGCTCCGTCCTGCCGGGCACCGTGGGGGGGGACCGGGCGCGGCACGGCAGAATGAGGGAGGATGGAAGTGCGGAGGGGGCACGGGAGAGCCAGGAGCCACGTCGGACTTGGCCCCCTGGGCACAGACATGCTAGGTGCTGGAGTAGCATCCAGCTCCATCACTCCTTCCACACACAGACATCCAGAGCCGAGCATGAAGCACCCCCAGACTGTGAGCAGGGAGAGACCTGCGAGACCAGAGCCACACCTCGCAGCGGTCTGACATGGGACGGGGCAGTGGATGCCCACAAGCCCAGCATGGCGTGGCCACCATGAGAGTGCAGGGCCTGTGCTGTTGCAGGCAGTGGTGCTCCTTCCAGGAACGTATGTGCTGCCCTAACTCCTCACTCTTAGCATCAGTGCTTGGATGCTCTGATTTATCTATGACTCGGCGGGTTCATTGCGCTGCCTGTGGAGAAGGGTTGGTCTGCAGCAAGGAGAGATCAAAGCACCTTGAGGAAGCACCACACTGAGCTCATACACAGTACGGGCAGGGCTGAGCCACTTCAGAATCGCTGTGGATATGCTGCTGCTGCTGCTGCTGCTCTCAGAGCAGCAAAGTGGGACCAAAGGAAGATTCCAGCAGAGAATCAGCCCTGAGACTTGGGACCTGCACCCAGGGCCTCTCCTCATCGCTGCCCATCAAAGGGAACAAGAAAACTTGTTTTCAGTTCTGCTGCTTCCTAGGGGTGGAGAGCAGCTCTGGGATGAGAGCCCCTTAACCACACAGGCTGAGCGGCTCCGTGGACCTCTGAGCTGATCTCTTCCTGAATCCTCAGAAGTACCCACACTGTGGCTCAATAAATGGAAAAAGTAATGGAAAAGCATAAAGGAAAGCCAACACAGGACAAAGAGAAATGCACACAAAGAAATCCCCATTTGCCTGTGCTCAGTAAACCTCACTCAGTCCTGCTGTCCTGACACGTGTATGTCTGAGGTTAGACCGTTGTTGGTTGCTGCTGGGCAATGGCACAAGCCCTGTAGCCACACAGGGAGGTACAGTGAGGTGCTGGGCATCACTAACAGCAGGGACACAGCACAACATCTGTGGTTGCCCAACACCAGGGCAGCTCTGTGCTCACCCGATTCACACGGATGGCAGCAGGGCCAGCGTGCTGGGATACTGCCAGGCCCTTCAGCCCTGGGTATCTGCTGTGGCCGGCACATTGCCTCCAACCACTGTGGCCTCATGGGCAGAGCACTGCACTGTGCATGGGATGCCTGCTGCTGCCCCCCCCAGAGGCTCTGCTCTCCCTTGGTGCTTCAGTTTCTCTTCCTCTCCCGTGAGGACAGCACTGACGACTACCTTCCCTGTCATCTGATGAAAACAAGCAGCAAGGACTTGGCTTTCCAACCATATTACCAAAGGAAAAGGCTGGCAGCTGCTTGCCTTTCAACTCCTTTGCAGGAGCAGGCTTGGCGAGGACCTTGAAGCCAGGCTCACTTCCCAGTATTAAGCCTATGGGCAACCCCTTCAATCTGCATCTGCTTGTGTCAGCACAACATCACAGGAGAGCTGCAGCTCCCCCCTTTCTGGGGACACAACAAGTGACATTTCCATGAGGCTCAAACCCATCGCAGCCATTCCTGGTGCCAGAGAGACACGTGCACGCAGCAGAACAGAGCTTATTGAGCTGGGTGCTGCTGCTGAAACCTGGCAGCAAAGAGCACCAAGCACAGCTTTGCTGAGGCAGAAGGACGGAGATATTTTGGCAGTGGAATTGGAGAGCAGGGTTGTGGCCATGGTACAGGCTTCCTGGGGAAAAGGGAGCACTGTCAGGGCACAGGGCTCGGTAGTGGAATGTCCATAATAAGGAAAAGATGAGAGGTGAATAATTAAATGTGAACAGAAACAGTTGTCATACATCTCTTTGTGTCCTATAGCCATATGAATAGATTATGGAACATGTTTATGTGCCTGCTTTTCCCCCTTACAAACACTGATGGAGCACATAACACAAATCTTTCCCTGGCGCGTGCGTGCACACATACACACACACACACACTCTAATCCCTTTCACGCTGGTATGTCAAAGCAAGCTATTTCTGGAACGTGAAATCTAGGTCAAAAAGAAGGAGAAAGTTTGAAGGCAATGATAAGTCTCTCTCCTGAAAGGGTGCTCTGACTGATTGAATTAGCAATGGGGTTGGGGTGGTTCCTTACTCCTTGTCTCTGGCTGCTCATGAACAGGTTGAACAGCATCTCCTGGCCTGCTTTGGTTTCTCTTTTGCCTTCACATCACTACTTTTCCCCCATAAAGAAGAGAAGGCCATGACAGCCAAGAGAGGAAAGGAGCAGAACTTGCCTTCCCACCCAGACTGCACTGCACACAGAGGAGGGTGAGGAGGAGGGTGCCTGTACCCATCCCTCACAAACCAGTGCTACGTGACTTTCCCAGAAGCCATGGAAACCTATCCCACAGTGAACCAGCCCTTGGGGATTTGGTCAGAACGATGCTGCTTTGTGCTGAGAGGTGCACGGAGGTGTGCAGGCATTTGGTCTTTCCTCCACTGAGCACAATCGTGCTCCCCTTGCAAGAGCATCAGTACCAGGGGACTGGGCTGGGTTCTCCAGGGTCAAGGTTCCCAGCACAGTGAAGGTTCTGGGAGCCACCTCTCTAATTTAATGATGAACATAAATAAACCAAAGAAGCAAAAGGAAGGCAGAAAACAGGTTGGATGCTGAAGGGTGGCTCTTCTGTCATGACTTTGGGGAGTATCTCTCCTATGTAGTGCTCTCTGCCCAGCTTGGGCTTGGCAAAGGTTTGGCATATGAACAGGCACATGGTGTCTGGAGCCCATTTATATAGGCAGTTGTGCTGTGCACCCAGAGCTGCCATCAGGGGGTCAGCAGAAAGGGAGAACCAGAGGGTTGCTGTCCTACAGAGCTCACACCCTCAGCAGCATCTTAACTGCTAGTAAGATGGGTCAACAGAGACAGCCCAGTCCTGGAGCAGGGGGCAGAGCTGGGTTCCCTGGCCTCCCTGGAGGAGATTTGGGCACAGGATAAGGAGCAGACTCCCGGCTTTCTGAGAACAGGCTGCTGAATCCCAGAGCAGGATGCTCTGAGGACGGGTGGAATTACCAGATGGCATGGGATAGACTGGGAAGAGCTCGAGTAGGAACTGGCTTGGTGTGAGCTTTCCCTGCTGTCACTGGTGTGATGGGTGGAGGCTGGGCTGGGCTCCCTACACTGGGGATTCTCCTCTGCTTTTGCTGGGCTTTGTTCACCTCTGCTTTCCTGTTTCCCCTGGACATCAAATATTCAGCTCTGTATTACAAGCAGCCTATTAAACAAGCAATTCCCAGTGCTGCTGCTAATAAGAAGGAGCTGGGGCTGGGGAGCCCTTTGTAATGCTCAGGAGACAGCGTGGCTGTCCGCCGAAAGCTGGCAATTAGATGAATAGGTTTCACTGGGGCTTTTGAGTCTCCAGCTTCGCAAGGCACAGAGCTTTGTTTAAAGCTGATCAAGGGCAGCTCATCATCTGTCTCGCTGGCTGTCAAATGGGATCTAATTGCCTTGTAATGCACGAGTGACACAGGCGTTTGTGGGAGGACCTGGCTTGTCAGAGGTGTGACAGCTTGTCAGGGCTCTCCCACCCGGCCCTGCTCCCCACACAGACCCTGAGAGGAGCAGCCCTTTGTGAAATGGAGCTCCCTGCACTTCAGCTGCTACTGAACCCCTTTGATTTATGATTCAACCCCCATGCTGTCCTCAAAGAAGGAGAAGCAGGCATCAGCACAGCACTGCTGCACTGGTGGTGCCCCTTTAGGATGGGTCCCGACAGAGAAGAAACCCAAACCCCTTCTCAGGGACTGGGCGCATGATGGGAGCAGTTCTTCTGGGCTGGGGTATGGGTGCTGGAGCAGGAAGGTGTCCATGGGAAGTAAATGGGTGATGGTTCTCAGTTTTTTCACCCCAGAGCCCTACGCGGAGCAGAGAGACCATTAAACCTGCAGACAGTGGTGCACCCACCTCTGTTGGCCCAGACTGATGCTGCCAAGCTGAGAAATACCAGTGTGCTGCTCAGGAGGCCCCTCTTGTACAACACCAACCAATTAAAGCCTCAGCGATGCAAAGGTCCAGAGCTTTCCTAGACCTCTGCAAGCCACATCAGCCACGCCGGCTGGATCCCGGCAACCTGTATGCCAATTCACTGCCTGCATCCCAGGTCCAGCATCATCCGGAGACCCAGCCATCCAAGTGCTATGCCTGGCTGATGGCCTCCCATAAGCCCACCGAAGTCTTGAACAAGCATGGCTGGAGATACAGGTACCCCAGCCCAGTGCCTCACGCGCCCCATACGCGACGGGCAGCCGCATCCCCTGTCCCCACACGGCCCTTCCCGTCCGCCGCCGCTGCACTCACTGCTGTTGTTGGGCAGGGTCCTGCTGCCGCTGAGGCTGCCCGTCGGCGGGGGGGAGATGGAGCGGACGGAGCCCGTGTCCTCTTCCTGGGAGCAGCCCGCCTGGATGGCTCGGAGGTAGCTGTGGCTCCGGGAGCGGAAGTAACTGGGCAGAGGCAGGTCCAGCACCTCCGCGGCGGCCGACTCGGCCTCGCTGTAGGTAGAGTCGCAGACTGCCTCGTACTGCTCCCCCAGCTCCGGCTCCGGTGCCTGCACGGGGAGAGGGGCAGAGCCAGTCACCCCCTGCATCAGACAGCCCGTCCCTTCCCTTCCCTTCCCCTCCCTGCTGCTGCTGCCTGGTCCTGCTTACAGCAGATGAGACCGGGAGGTGCACCAATTCTGGTGGGATGCAGGATGCCCCGGCTCTCTGCTGAGAGAGAGGGGAGAGGGAACCTTCCTTGGAGGCAAGGTCCCTGCTTGCGGAGTAGGAGAGACTTACAACACAGTGCCTGTGAAACAGCCCCCAGTCTCTGATGGAGAGGCTGAGAACACACGAGAGAGCTAAAATCCAGCCTCTGACAAGGCCCCCTGTCAGGGAGGGGGGCTCTGTGGGGAGATGGCCTTGCCCTGGCCATCAGGCATGCTCTTCAGTGTGGGGAGATGGCCTTGGCCCTGCAGCCGGGTGCAGGGAAAGAAGGTGGGAAGGTGTGGACTGGGGGTACAGCCTCCACGCTTGGCCAGGGACAGGCTGTATGGAAGGGTTCTGTAGCACATCGGGCTTCATCCACTGTAGGGACCAGGAGAGGGCCTGGTGGCTGCAGCGAGGTGTAAGCTGAGCAGGGGCTTTACTCCCTGCTTCTCTGCTGCCCACACTGCCCTCCCAGCCATGCCCCCTCTCCAGTAGCACTGGCTGGTCAAACATGGGCTCTGGAGAGGCTCACCCGGCTTAAACCAGAGTCAGACCATTCTGAAATACAGATGAGAGATGCTGAGGTTGGCCCTGTTGCTCACTTCCATCTCTTCTGGCCCTTTCTTTGCCTTCAAGGACAGTTCTTCTGCCCAGCACTGGCACCTGAGCTACACAAGGTTTGGCTCAAAGAGCTCATCTACTTTCCCCCTAACCCTACTGGTCCCTAACTCCGCACTGGGGCCAGGGGAACCAAGCTCTCCAGCTGCCCTGCAGGGCCCAGCTGGGAGCACTGCCTCTTTCTCCTTCCACTTTTTCCTCCTCCTCCTGCTGGCCCTGGGTATGGGCTGACCTCATGGCCTGCCTTGCACACTGCCACGGGAGCCCAGGGCTGACCCGAGAAAGCTCCATGAAGAAGGAAGAGGGAAACGCCAGCGGGACGGTACCTGCTCTCCATGGGTAAATATCTGAGGGATAAGTGAGGGGGGTCCAAAGATCTGGAAGAAAGAGTTGGAGAAGGTTAAAGGCCAAGAACAGGGGAGCTCCTCACACAGACAGCCATTGCACAGGGACCAAGGACGAGGGGAGCTGTCAGAACCACAGCTTCTGACACTTGAATACAAACTTCAGAGCTCATCAGATGCCAAGCACGGTGCCGCACGGACTCCTCAGACAGCGGCACAAACACGGCATGGCAAAGCTCCACGGGACGCCTCCCAGACAGAGAGAAGCTGCTGATGCATCCAGCCTGTTGTATGCACCATAGATCCATGTATATACACAGGGCACACTCGGGACACACAATGCTGGGACACCCCTTGGAGCACATGGGTTGCCTGTGGCTGCTGGACAAGGGCTGGTGTGGCTCCCATTTGGCATCTCTGTGAAGCCCCTGGCATTGGCCAGCACATCACAGCGTGGCCAGGAGCAGCAATGGGCTTCCACAGCCCACAGAGCTGGGGTGGATGGGCAGTCTGACTGCTTCATGTCAGGGAAACTCCCCTTCACCTCAATGGGGTCAGGTTGGCCACTTTGCTGCTATGGCCTCTATCCCTGCATCAGGAGAAGCCACATGGAAGCGATTCTGCCTTCTCTCCATAGAAAGCCACAGCACACACTCTGCATAAGGACAGATGCCCAACAGATACTGCCTATGGGAAGGAACGCCTTCTCCTTCTCTCCATCCCTGGTCTGCAGAGCACATCCACTCTCTGAGCTCTACCCAACATAAGCTGCCCCAAATGGCCCATCTTGGGAAGAATCCAGGTTCAAAATGTACCCAAAGGAATAGGCTTGGCTCTGGTGGTTGGGTCCAGCCCTTCTATACAGGGCACAGCTCAAAGTGTGGATAAGCAATGTTGGGGGTCACCAGCTGACTCTGGCCATGGTCCCCTTGGTTTGTGATAAATGGATGTTGATGTGCAACACCCGGTGAACCCCGGGCTTCCAGAGGTTTGCAAGGGACAAACCGAAGCGTAGTGGAATTCTTTCAGACCTGGGATTCTTCTATGTGGGAGGACACTGGTGTCTTGCTGGACACACAAGGAAGCTGTTGGAGGTCACACCGAAGTGAGGGCAGGAGAGGAACTGCCTCTGGCACTGGATGAAGGGCAGGTCAGACCTCTGGAGGATGAGACCAGCACACATCGGTGGCTGTACCAGCTCCATCCTGGATCAACAGATACGCAGTTCCTGGGAGGCCTCTAAATCCCAACCCTGCCACACTGTGGGCTGCTCAGATCCTCCAGCCCCAAGACGCTTCCGATGTCTTCATGGGGCTGCTGCCCTCAGCTGCTAAATGGCAGTTTTAGAGAGGGACAGAGCACAGACTGAGCCCACTGCTTGTCTTCACGAAGAGACCTAGCCTCAGCCATGGATTTACATGCAAAGGACAAGAATGCGACGGTCCTGACCCCTTCTCTGCTCAGTGAGACACCCAGCACATTGCTGTTGATGTACAAGGGACGAGACTGAGCACAAGGAACACGTACGCCGTGAGCAATGCCCTGTGCCCCAGAGCTCTGCACCAGGGGCTCCAACTGCTCTGTGACAGCAGGAGAAACCAGCCGAGGGATGGGAGAGGCTGGGCTGGGACAGAGGAGAGCTCAGAGCCCCACGCTGCTGCAGGGGAACATTGTCACACAGCACTCACCCTCCTGCATGCTCTGCTTTGTAATGCCCATCCTGCTGCTTTAACCCCAGCCTCGTGCTGCCACCCTGGATCATTGCGCATGGAGTGGGGCAGCATTGATGGGGCACATGTGTGCACATGTTCCCATGCAGACACGTATGAACAGACACAGGATGGGGCAGAGGCCTAGGGTGACAGTGAAAGGGCTGGGTGAAGCTTGTGGAGCCATCGATGCCCTGGGGACCTCCACTTGTGTACCAAAAAGACAGGCCCCTTGGCTGACATAAGCACATGGGACCTCTACAGAAGCCTCATCCCAGCATGGGCTATTTCCTGGCCTGTGAGACAGCTGGCTTATAGCTGCTCCAGAGTAATCCCAAGGAGGGGGCATAGTGTGGGATGGGGTATTAAAACCAGTTTGCACTGACTGCATCTGGCAGGTTGGGGTCAGTCTGTGAGGCCACCCAGTGGCAAGGGGTTTGCCACCCACCATCAGCACCTCACTGGCATCCTCAGCTTTGCTCTTCCCATGGGAAACAGGGATATCCAAGGGAGATGTCCCCAGCTAGCTGGCAGGACAGTCTCCCGAATTATGGGCATCTTGTTCCTGGGTCCAGTCTGCTGCAGGAGGGATGAGGGCCTCAAAGCTATGCAGGGTTGTTGTCCCTGGTGACGGGCTGCAGGGTCCCAGGCTGGATGCATTGGCTCTGTACCCAGTCACTGGGCACAAGGAGCTTGCAGCAGGAGCAAACACCATTACAGGTGCTTCTGGGTGGTGACATGGTGGGACCCTGTGCTCAGAGCAGCGCTGAGCTTCACCCATTGCTGTAAAGCATCGCTCCTGTGGCCATGGCAGAGTAACTTCAGCTGCACCAGCAGTGCTGAGAGGAGGCAAAGCGAGGGGAAGGGGGGTCTGATATGAGCTGTAATTAAGGAGCAGGCGTTGATACTTTGGTGAAGCTGCCAGGGTTTATGTGCAATTCCCAGAGTGCAGCCTGTGCCTTATTTTGAAGGGGGGGGAAAGGATGTTCCTCTCTGCCCTCAGCTGGCCTCCTTTCCCACTGGGGTGTACTGGTGCAGTGGTGCTCAGCATTCTGGCATCTCACCTGGTTGATGCAACTGGACTCGTTGATGCTGTCAGAGATCTGGTTGTATTCTTCCTCCCAGGTTGGGAACTTCGGAGGTAGGAGGATCTCGACAGAGTCCAGGCGGTCCAGGCTCCTGCCAGCAGAGAAAGAGGGTGTCAGGGGTGTCCCCAGCACCAGGGGCTGTGCTGGAGCTGCTGCCCTGCCAGGAGAGCAGCCAGATCACCCCTGCCTGTGGTACCCTCTGCCAGGCACAGGCACAGGCACATGGGGCAGCACGGAGGTGATGCTGGGCACCCAGTGCACTGCTCTTGGAGCAGAAGGAAGCACTCCTCCGGGCAGGACTGTGGCACCTCCTGAATCTCCATCCTGGTGTGTGAGGAGAGCAGGGAGCGGTCTTCCCTCCCATTGGGCTTCACTCTGACTGCCCCCCGCAGCCTGCCCATGGGGAAGCCGAGTCAAAGCAGGCAACAGACTTTGGAAGGGCAGAGACCCTCTCACAAGGACCGATCATGCCCCACTCCTCTGTGCCTTGTCCTGGCTAAGGCTGTGGTCGTGCTCCCTGCAGTCCCTCCTGTCCCAAACCGCAGGTCCGGTGCTGGTGCAGCCCCAGTACCAAGGGCCTCATCGAGGGCTGCCATGGGGCTGTGCCAGGGCACTGTGTCCCCGCTGCCATCCCAGGGCTGTCCCAGGCTGGCGGGGCCCCGCAGGGAGGCTCTGAAGCAGCCAAAGTGGCCACAGCATCCAAAAAGCTCCTTGCGGAGGGCGGGGGGCGAGGTGGTTGTCGGCAGATGGCAGCCGTGATCATGCTCTGGTGCCGCCCCTGCTTGTGCCCGGCACAAGACCTCAGCGGCCTGGCCGGAGGATGATGGGCGCACCAGGATGCGACATTCCTCACTGGAGCGCAGCACCAAGGGCTGCGGGCCCCCTCCTTCCCCGCAGTGAACCTCCAGCAATGCCCGTGTGCAGCCCAGCCCTGCCCGGACCCCTCCTCTCCTGTGTAGCTGCATCCACAGCTCATCCAGCTCTGCCTCTCCTGCTCTAACACCATACTCTGGCTTCCTAAACACTGCCCATGGCTTCTGGACGGACTCCAGCAGCCCCACTGAGGTCATACCCTGATGGACATGACTTGAATGGACCATGAACCCAAGACAGGAAGAATCTGTCTCTCAAGTATTTTGCATCAGAGACTCCTGGACACAGCTCAGCTCCCCCTGAAGTGGATGTGAAAGTGGGGAACAGGGATGGATTCAGAGCAGGCATTTCCAGGGCTCCCCACAGTTAATTTTGCCACCATCTCTCAGCAGAAGGCAGCATCTGGTCAGCAATCTGGGGCTACCCCGAGGGTTCCCCACACTGCCTGCTGTACCCTCACTTCTGGCTCTGTCTGCTGAACATCACCAGCTCATCCATGGTGGCTCCTGCCTCCTCCTGCTGCCCTTTGCTCCTGAGCCACAGCACCCGAAACACCAACAGCCTCTTCCAGCCCCTGGTGCCTTGTCTCGGGATGCAGAGCTGCTGGTGAGGACACTGCAGGGGATCACCTCTGGTCAGGCTGGCCACACAGACCCCATCCTGCAAGAACCAGCCTCCTGCCCAGGTTTTGCTCTGTTCCCCTTGCTCTGCTGCCTCGCTGGCTCAAGCCACTGTGCCTCCTTCCTCCCTCAATAGTTCCAGACCTCTCAGGTCATCTTCCCTGGCCTCAGGATGCATCAGCTTCTGGGCTGGCCCCTGCGGACCTTAGCAGGGCTCCTGGAGGAGCTCCAGCATTACCTTTGTGTGGTGCTCTGCTCACTCAGGGACTGTTGGGTGGCCTTGAGGTAACTCTGCCTCCGAGCTGCAGTTTTCGGGGATGGTTTGGGGCTGGTTTCTGAGTCTTCACTATCATCATCCCCCATGGCTTTGATGTAGCTCCCGCTCCGCATGCGCCGGCACGGGATCTCGCTGTCTTTGTCCCGAGACAGCGTGTTGTTCCACTCCCCCTGAGGCACCTGCAACAGTAAGGGGAGCATGAGCAGATGTGGGGGACGGCACCTCTGGGACCAGCGGGATCATGGGGACCTGGGGGGATTGGTGTCGAGGACAACTGTTGGAGCCTCAGCTGGAGCAGTGGGAATGGGCAGCGCAATTCCTTTCCGACCCTCCCTTACCAGGTCATGCCAGGCAGCCCTGATTGCCTCTGCTGCAGCACACCTACCCACAGCCATTCACCCCACCAGCACCCAGGCCACCTTCACACCGCACCATGCGCACCCAAGCTGCACAATGCCGGACGGAACGGGGAGGGATGGGTCTCACCAGCTCTGCGGTGGGCACTGGGACAGGAGTGGCACACAGTGCAAAGCCCACGCTCAGGTAACGCGAAGTGCTCACGTTGTTCAGGGCAGTCAAAAGCTGTTGTAGACCTGTGGATCAGAGCCCAGACCTTCCCTGGGCCCAACACCCTCTATGGTTTCTGAGTTCAGTGTGACTCTGAGTGCACGAAAGTCATTTCTGAAGCCAAGCCAGGTCCTCACAAGTCCCTTTATAGCAGAGATAGGGCAACCTGAGCTGCCAGGAGCCAGCCTTGGTTTCGTGGCTAACTCGGTTTGCAGCCAGCCCCTGACCTGCCCTTGAGATGAGGATATGTGGTCAAGGAGAACCAAGGGAAGATGTGGGGAATGCAGCAATGTGCAATCCACGCAGACAGCGGGAAGCAGGCTGGCTCGGGGCTGCCATGGGGAGCAGCAGAGGGGCTTGTGCTGAGCACGGCTTGTGCTGCTGAGAGCATCCACACGGCCTGCTGGCTGGAGCTGTTGGATTTGCCCAGCTCCCCGAGGGGCCATAGGATTAATCAGCCGGTGTTTGTGTAGTGCTTTGGGGATGCACGGAGCCGTGTTGCAGCTCCCTGTGATGAGCCAGAGCTGTCAAGCACTGCGTGGTTCCTGTTCTCCTCCTTGCTCAACAGCAGGCATGTTCTGTGGGAGCCAGAGCCAGCCTGAGGGTGCCGTCTGCTGCTGCTGGGGTGCAACATCTCCAGATGAACTTCAGATCTGCAGACAGTGGCTTCTGGTTCTCCTGAGAGGGCCTGGCATGTGCCAGCTGCAGGCTCTATCCATGTGCAGCAGCTTAGCTCCCTCAGGGCTTTCTTCAGCCCATGTCCTGCCAGCCTGCTTGCTGTGTGTGTGGGAGAAGGCAGGACATGATCCCAGCACGATGTGGAACAGAACTCAAACAGCCTGTGGGTTCCCATCACGGTCTGCACCCATGAGCCAGGACCCGTGTTATTGGGTGACATAGAACAGAGACCCAGGGACTATATTACCTGTGTGTGAGATGCAGGTGGGGACCAACACTGAGCGAGTCTCACACGAGGCACAAACCTGCTGCTGCCGCTGGTTTTCCCAGCTCTTTCCACTCTGCCTCCTGCCATCTTCCTGCTTGGCAATGGCTGCTGGCAAGGATGCCCGGCTCCGGAGCTACCGGGTGTTATCCAGCAGGTTTTTACACACAGAAAGCCCTTTCTCTGCTGCTGTAAGGCCTCCTTCTGCCCAGCTGCCTGCACTGGGTGGCCCTGAGGCCAGTGAGGAGGGATCCTGCCAGCCCCGGATGATCTTGCCGTGGGAGAGATCCTACCAGTCACTGGGGTGGTTGGCTCTGATCTTTCCTAAAGGAGGCAGGAGCTCCGAGAAGCACTTTTATACCCATTGCATTAGTGTTAGGTCTGACTTGGGGCTGCATTTTGCTGCCTGCCTTCTCCTCAGGGTGAGTTGCAGCCTCCTGCCTGCAAAGGTCTTGGGCAAGAGGGTTGGGGTCTGCAGCCCCTGCCTAGGGTGAGAGCTTGCCAACAGCCAGGCATGCCAGGCAGGGGCCAGGGCACTGTACAGCCCTCCACTATACAGGGGAAAGCCTGTGGGATTCAGGTACACGTCCCTGGGAGTTGGGCTCCACTGTCACCACCTTGCCACAATACTGCATGTTGCAAAGAATCAGCATCTTCTGGCTCTTCTGCTCTCTGAGCATGGAGGAGAAAGGGAAGAAGGGGCTACACTGAGGTTTTACCCTGCCTTAATGCTGCCTGGCGCATTCCCCTGTCACCTGGAGCATTAACAGAGAGGGGAGAGGAGGGAAGGGGAGAACTCCAACCCTGGAGCTGCCCTGCTCCCCTTGCTTCGGGGAGGTCTGGGGGAAGAGACACTCACAGAGCAACCCGGGTTCCATCCACACGTGTGCCAGCTCTGCCATGCAGCCCAGCCCCAGCACACACAGACATGCACCACACAGGAACAGACGTGCCGAGGCCGGGTGCAGCGTGCAGGGATGCACGTGCCATGCAGCCAGGCTCCAGCGCCCGATGCGGGGACACTGCTGCTCCCTCCGGGGCCGGACCCCTCGTGGTGTGGTCTCAGGTATGGCCTCAAGAGAAAAAGCTAGAGCCCAGGCTGCCTGTGGGTCCCATCTGTCCTTTAGGTGAGGCAGCCTTTGGGAAGGAGCTTGGCTGGGTTTCCTGCCCCACGGGAGCTCTGTGGGGCTGGTGGAGGGCAGCAGCATCTGGATCCTGACTTTATTTTGGAGGCTACAGGGGGTTAAGGAATCTTCATTGTGGTCTGACTGGGGAGGTTGATCTGGATGATGCATCAGGCGGATGGTGCCCTTGGTACAACTGTCCTCTGGGAGCCCCGACACTGCTTGTCCCTTCAATGTGGTCTTGGTGTCCGTGGATGTGAGTTTGAGTCTGTGCCTGGGGCTGTTCACCCCCTGCCTGGGGCATCTCTCACTATAAGGAGCTGCTTGGCCATTGGGATCCTGACCTCCTAGGGAGGGCAGAAGAGGGAACAGATGTGGAGCAGAGCCTCCCTCCCTGGGGACTGCTCTAAGGACAGTGCTGTGTCACCTTGGGGATTGCTCCTGAGAGACCCCCAACCCTGACAGGACAGAGCTGGACCTGGAGCTGTGTGATCACCCACTCTCAGCTCCAATGTCTGCGTCTGGATATGGACCCCCGTTAGTCCTTGATGAGCCCCAAGATTATCCAGAGCCTGCTGATGGGGCAGGAGAAGTGAAGAGCTTTGGGGGCTTAGTCCAGCCAGGAGGCTGGGGGGTCCTGCTTGTCCCCATCCCACACCTCCTGCCCTCCCTCATGTCAGAGGGACTCTTCCCCACCTCTGCAACCCACCAGCCATTTCTGCCTGGCAGCAGCAGGGCAGGGCCTCCATGTCCCCAAAGAACCAGGCTCTGTGTGCAGGCAGATGCCCGCAGTCCCTCACCATGGCAGAAGCAGGGAGTGGGCTCATCCTGCTTCAGGCGGCAGGGGACGTGTGGCTTTGCACAATGACATCTCCCACAGAGTGGGCTCTAGAGGTGACTCCTCCATCACCAGTTTAGTCCCCTTCCCATGCTGACAGGGGCCTGGATATATCACCCCCTCCTGCCCTGAGGGCCCTGAGCCCTGTGCCTGCCCTCTGGGGCTTACACCGGGCACCCGTGGGCCATCTCAGCCTGAGCATCTGTGACCTCTAGGGTTCTGGGAGCACCAAACCTCATGTTTCTGGACTGGGTGCCTGGGGTCTTGGCTTTGAAGGCGAGGTGCTGGTGGCTGCAGAAGCTGCCCCAGTCCCTCAGGATGCTGCTCACACCGCAGCACCTCCCGATGCCCCTCCATCCACGATGACAGTGAGTGCGGGGTTCTCCCTACCCACGCTGCTCCCGCTCCGAGTTCGGTGGTGCAGGCTGCCGACCCTGCCTGATGGTCCCAGGAGGGTCAGGGCTGGGAGGGAGCTGGGCAAAAGCTTCCCCTCAAAACAAGATCCCTACCTGGCCGCTGCCCGCGTCGGTCTGCCCAGGGCTGAGGGGCTGGTCCCAGCTCCGCGGGGGCTCGCTCGGCTGCGGCGGGGTGGCCCCCGTGTCCTCCCAGCCCAGCGGTTGGGCTGCCCAGCTGCTGGCCGGGCTCACGCCACCCAGCTGCGCCCACAGCCCTCCGTCAGGCTGTCGAGAAACGGAGGCTCATTACATGGGCAATAACCTCGTTACATGGCAGGGCAATAACCAGCACGGCAGTCTCCTACCCCCAGCCGTGGCCAAACCCTGAAGGTGAGGGGCTGCTGTGGTTGCATTTGGTTTGCCTGCGCTGGGCTCTGCCACTGCACCCAGAGGGGTATCAGTGCCAGCAGATGCTCTGGCTGCAGCTCTTTAACCTCATAAGGAGGCGGGCAAAGAAAAAGAAACCAGGCCGAGAACGTTTTCCCTGATGACGTTCCTGATGGAGTTAAGTCCCTCTGCAATTTGATTTGCAGCCATGGCCAGCAAGCAATTGGGAGCAGGGTGTGCTGCAATAATTCATTGCTCTTTAAAGCTTCTAAGCCTGCTGGCCACAGCCAGGGGAGCCCATGACACCTTTGCATTAAAAAGGATGCTGGAGACATACACACATCGACTAGTCCCCCCCTTAATCCCCCAGCCAGGCCTGGCTTATTTATCTTCATTCCTCCCTCTTAGGGCACAGCTGGGTTTATGTTCTTCAGGCAGTGCTGTGACCTGGCGCTCTTGGTGTGTGTCAAACCAGCATTAGCCATGCAGGCTTGTGCCATGCAAGCAGAGAGGCTGGCACTGCCCTCCTGGCCCCACAGCCCTGCCCCACGTGCCAAAGGCAGCCATGCCCTGCAGAGCTGCAGGTCCTACCAGCGCTCCGGGGAAGCTCTGTAGAGCAGGGCTTACTGGGCACGCCGGCACATCCTTGCGATGCATGGATATAAGGGGGTAAGCATTAGTTATCACTGGTCATCTTCAGACCTGGGGGTGGTGGCAGTGCTTGGGATATGAGCCACAGCCCCTTGGTGTACCCAGATGGATGGGCATCAAGTGATAATGGGTACATGTGGGCAACTCCATGCCTGGCTGCCCAAGAGTCCACCCCACCACAGCATCTGCACGGTGTGGTGGGCATTGGGGGTGTGCTGGGGCCCCACAGCAGACAGGGATGAGGGTGCTGAGGCTGTGGTGCAGGCACATCACCACACTGCCATGGTCCAGCACAGGGGCTGGGGGTCCTGGGGCAGCACTGGGAGAGCTGGAGCCCAGCAACACCGGTGTCCCCATAGGGCTATCCCTGGGGCCACGGTGAATTTAACCCACCCAGTCCTCTCCTGGCAAAGTGGCTTGAGGTGGCACCTGAACCATCAGGAGCTGTTTGGTAATAGGGTGCAATAGGGCCCCTACTAAGAGAGTGTTCCCTGTTTTCCTGTATTCTCCCTGCACGGAGAAGCCATAACCCCTCACTGCACCCACCTGCAGGTAGTGATAGGCCAAGTCTTGATGGCAGGACTTGGATTTCAGCAAGGCTTTGTCGATCGTGGCCGAGGCCTTCTGGCACATTTCCCGGGCATGGCTGAGCGTCAGCGTGGACCAGGAGCCCCTCTTAATGTAGTTGGAGTCATTGTTGATGGGGATATTGGTGCATGGGGTGACCTTGAGGTCGTTATTGCTCTTGGAGGATTTCAACATGTGCTCGCTGATGGTGTTGTAAGCGTGCATGAAGTACTTGGGCTGGCTGTGGTCCGGCTGCCTGCCCAGCGTCATGAGGCCCATTGGGTTGCGGTAGCTGCAGGTATCGTTGTCTAAGTTGTCATCTGAGCTCCACCAGCCTGATATGTTGGATCTGGTCCTGCGCTTGGGCTCGGAGGTCTTCGCCCGGTCTTTGCTCTTGCTCCTCCGGTTTTGCTTGGCGTCATCCGTCCCCTTCTTGCCATTCACGTTGCCTTTGGTGGGGCCCTCCAGAGACTGGGACTTGGCAAAGAGCTTCTGGACCGAGTGGACGAGGTGCCGGATGCGCCCAGGGCTCTCGCTGCGGTGCTTTGCATCGCTCCTCTGAAACTGGAGGGTGCTGAAGCCGTCTCTGTGGATGGGCAGCTGCTTCTCAAACTGGTCCAGGAGGTTCGCAGGCAAGCGGTTGATTTTAGTGGCTTGGGCATGGCTTGGAAAAGGGTTGTCATCCGGGACCTCGAAGTGGGAGTTGTAATGGATGCGCGGGAATGTGCTGCTGTTGGAGATCTGGTTGTTGAGTGGAAGGAGACAGTCGCCGTGGAGGGTGTTTTGGGCTGGGAATCGGGGGTCCATGGTGAAGGAGTCGGTGGGGCTGAGGAGATAGGGGTTCCTGTCCTGGGGGGCATAAAGAGAGTCTTGAGGGGAGTCCAGGTTATCAGAAAGGTGGCGGCTTCTGTTATCTCCTAAGCCCTTCATGGTCCCAGTGTTTCCCAGACCATTGCTCAGGGTTGGTGTGGCAGAGCCCTTGCAGGAGCTGGCCCTGCTCTCCTGCAGACTCCCCTGCACCTGAAGGAAGAGGACAGACACTCAGAGCCTGCTGAGAACCCCTTTGGCAGCCTCTCTGCAGTGGGGCTTCCTTGCCAGGGCTGGTCCAGCTCTGAAAACAACTGCCACCAAGGTTAAGGGATGGAAGCAGGACGGGAGGGAGATGAGATGGCAGAAAGGGAGGAGAAGGGACGTGAGACATGGTGCTGGAGAGAACAGGGTACAGGAGAAGAGGAGGGGAAGGATTCATTCTTTCTAGCTGCAGTTTAAGCACTTGGGTGTCTCAGTGCTCAACCACAGCCTGCTTAAACAACGCTGCTGCTATTTGTCTGGTCTCTGCACATGTTTATTTAATAGAATCCCTTCCCCAGGCAGTGTCACACAGGCTAACAGGGGCACTGCCAGCAAATCACTGCTCCCGTCCCATTTGTTCAGGAGGCTGGAGGAAAACCTGCTGTCAAACCCTGCACACGGGCCTTGCCTGAGCCAGGGGAAGGCTGGAGCCAAGCATCCCTTCTTCTTGCATTCTGCTTTGTGGTTCCTGGGTCTCGGAAGGGGCTGGCAGCCCTGTTCTCTGTGTCGCATGCAGCTGTGCTAATCTGATATCTGATGTCAAACGTCTCCTCTCCAACAAACACCATGGTTTATGGCGTGTTTTACCCCAGAGGAAATGGTTTCAGTAGCTGCAATGAGAGCAGAGGTGTTTCTGAACACTTGGAGCCTGACCTCAGAAGCTGGTTGCGGCTCAGTTGATCTTTCCTGCCTCTCTGCATTGCTCCTGGGCAGCTGGATACAGAGGGTCCCCTTAGGGAAAGGGAGCTCCTCACTGAAGGCTTCCCCAGTGCACCTTCCTTGTCCTGCTTGGCTCAAAAGGATCCTTGTCTGCACTGGGTTATACAGGGGGAAAAGACAAACTCTTTGGGGCTGCTTGAATGAAATCAATGAACAGAACATATGATGAGCTGTCAATCACTGAGTTGATTTTCCATGCTTAAGACCTAAACAAACTGATTCTTATCCCTTTTAGTTTTTAGTTTAGTTTCTTAGTTCCTTTTTTAGCTTGAGTGTTGTTTAATGGCAACTCACAAACACTGAAGCATCCTACAGGTGTAAAAGTCTGGGGGCTGAGATCCTAGGCTACTTGTATAAAATCCTGCTTGCTCAAAGTCCAGGGACGCAAAACATGGACAGGAAGGTGAACAGCTGCTCCTTGGGAAGATAAGGGGCTGCTCTGGGGGCTGCAGTGACAGAGGTGTGTGCATTTTCCAACCCCAGGATGATCCAATATTCCCCAAATGCACCTAGAAGGGAAAATAGTGACTGAACCTCAGAGCCTCCCGGGAGCTTGAGAGAAAGCAAGCCCCGATTTGCTTTTTCCTAGGGAACAAGGAGGAGAATGGTGTCCTAAGAGCAACAGAGCTCCTGGGTTCTCCCTGTCAAGCCACAGATTTAGCTCTGGTTTTCCCCTAGGAGCTCATCCTCCTTCATGCAGTCTGGTCAGCAAAAGCAGCGAGGACCAAACTGGTGCAGGGAGCAGTCAGCAATCAGTGGAGAACGACAGGACTTGACAGGCTTCTTTTCCTTCCTCGCGCAGGGAAAAAGCACATTAATAAGGAAAAGCAGCTGGGGCTTTAAATGGTTGTTTGGAGGCACAAAGGAAAAAGAGAAGTGCCATGTATTCCATCGCTTAAAGTCTCCATCCAACTCTTACTCCCAGCAAAGCTTTGGTCTTTCTAAAGCAGTGGTTTGAAGACAGCGAGCGCAGACAGAGGCTCCTGCTCCTCGTCCTTCAAACCCTGCTCCGGGGGTCCCACCTCTCCTCAAACAACCCTGGGGAAGCTGTATGGCCCCATGGAGTGGGTCTTCTTAGGATCCCATGTGTTTTGGGGATGAGGACATGGCGTTATCCTGGCCTGAGCTCAGGGATAACAGTAAACCTGCTTCTCCTGCCAAAACACCCAATGCAACACTAGCCTTGACCAGGGTCTGGCTGCTTATGGTACTGCTGGGTGCCATCCTTTTCCCCTTGTGCTCTTCAGCAGCTTGGGGCATTAGCCTCTCTGGAGTCCCTTGCCCATGGGACAGCACCCATGTGAGCTGGTGGAGCAGCAGTGGGTGCTGGCCGCAGAAGTGCTCATGGATGTGCCAGGCAGCCCTGTACTACACTGTGTAAGCTGGCATCAGCACAGTGGTTAAAGAGAGGTGACAAAAAGCCCCAGGAGAAAGGAAACCCTCTGGACACAAGAGAAGGATGGGGTGTAGAAGGACAGGCTCCAGAATGGGCCATTCATCTGGTCCTTACATTCCATCTAGCCACAGACAGGCAACGTCAGCCCTGCTTGACTTGGAGGTGAAGCCCAAATCCTCCTGAATAACTCCCTGCTCTGCCCAGGCTCAGCTCTGCTCACTGTGGCCTCTCTCCCCTTTCCTTCCATGTCCCAGCTCCAGGCTCCCTGCAAGGTCCTTCACTCAGGCTTGTGCACTTGAGGCCACCCCAGCTCTGATGGATGCTGTGCTTCCCCCATCACGTTACGCTGCAGGAGTCACACAGTCCCCAAGGAGACAGCACAGCACTGATTTGATTATAATGGGATGTCTCTGGATATTGATAGTAAATACGTCTTTTCCTACAAAGGGCAATCAATATTTGAAGCTAAAGTCTCCCAGGCACTCCTGAGAGAGACTTCAGCCCCGTGACTGCTTTGCCATAGAGCAGATTAGCATCACTGCTTCTGTGTTCATTGGGCTCCAGGATGAAGTGAAACTGCCTTAGGACCCAAAATAAATAGGGAAATGAAATGAAATTAAATAACAGGAATGAAAATAAATGCAAAGCAAGGAAAGCCTGGCTTGCAAGGGAAGAGTGGGGCTGGGGGCTGGACTGGCTCAGGACAGCTCAAGAAGCAGAGGGTCAGGGAGGAGTGGCTGAGGGGCTGTGGGGACAAGCAGGGAGGGAGGAAAAGCGAAGGGAGCTCTCCTGGCTCCTGGTGCCCACCATACACTGTTTGCTGCATCCCCTGGGAGCTGGTTGCCCTTTAAGATGGATTAAACTGTTTTCATTACATTTTGATTACTCTCTGCAATCCTTGGCACTTCCCTAAGACGTGGGGTCAGGGAAGGGAAAAACCCAACAAGCCTCTTCCCCACCATCTCTTTAATTTGGAAGGATGAAAAGCTGGAAATTCAATCTCCCAAATCCATGATCCTGCAGCTCTCACACCGGGAAGGGAGGTCTCCCAGGGACCCACTGCATCCCTCAGCCCCAAACTGGGCACCAGGGCAGGGAGGTGAGTGACTCCCACTGGCATGGGCAGCAGGAGAAGACCCCGGTTAGCAGATGGTCATAACAGGGCCTGGAGAGGATGCAGGGGAAGGGGCTGGGTTTGCTGCATTGCCCCGTTACCTTCCTTCCCCTCAGCTTGTTCTTTTTCAGGGTTGCCCTTCCTCTTCCCAATGGCTTTGCTGATGCTGAGGTCTCTGTGAGTGACCTGACCTGATTTATGGCAGTTTTGTGTGTCCCAAACCACTCTGAACCCCATCTGGAGCTGTCTTCTTCTGGAGCTGCCCATGTGCAGACTCAGACCTGCTGCACTCAATTCCCTTACAGCACCACCTCCTGCAAAACACATCTGCAGCTCCAGACACTGAGCAGGGCATGAAGCCTCCAGTGCAGGAGATGATAGCCTTGCCTGAAGAACTTCCTGCCCAGCAGGGCTCCTCTCCACCCCTGGCTGAGCGCTGCTGATGCTTCCCTCCTGGAGGACCCACAGATGTTGTGTTCATCTGCTGTGAGTGGGAGATGGGGCCAGCCCCGAGGGCTGCTGGAGCTGGTGGGAGATGGTTCTTTCCACTTCAGGGAGACTGAATCACATCTTCATTGTGAGCTGAAAAAACCCTGTTGTTGTAACAGATACTTCAATGACTGCAAATATTTGCTTTTCGGTCTCTTTTTTAACAGCAGAGAGATTAGGCTGGCCTGAACTGCGGGCAGAGCAGGAGGCAACTGAAAGGAAGTGGATGGAGGAGACAGCTGCAATGCAGTGTAGATAGGAACAAAGCATGGTTTCCAAGCTATCTGTCCTATCCTCACTGTCACGTGCCTGCCCAGCTTATGGCTGCCCATCCAACCCAGCCAGACAGGGCTCGGTGAGTCCTTGAAATTACGGTACTTGAAGAGCTCTTCTTTCTTCCCCAGATCACAGCCAAAAGCATCGTTCCTCCCTTCCCTTGCTTCCCTCTCCTCCCTGCCTCCCCCTCACAGCTTATCCATAGCTTTCCTGCTATTCCCACCAGCAGAGCTTTCCAACACCTTCTAAGTTTGTTCCCTGTGGAGACACCAAAGCTGCTGCCCCCACGCTGCATGCCAGCCCAGGGGCTGCATCCTTGCTCTGAACCTTCCTCCTCCCGAGAGAGCTCTGTTTTCTCATCCTAACCTCTCTCACGTCCCATCTAAAGAGCAGAATACACCACAAAATCACTGCTCCTGTGCAAAACACCAGGCGCCAGACACACAGCCAGACCTTCACCCAGGCTTCTTGGCTGGCCTTTACATAATAAACACTTGTTTAGGTTGGAAAGCGTCTCTTGAGATCATAACTTGGCCTGAACAGGATGGGTTGGGGAGGGATGTGTACGGCTCAGCAGAGGCAGGTAGAATCATCAGGGGAAGCAGCAGCCTGTGAAATGGGACTGCTCAGAGCACAAGTCCTTCAGGAGGAAGAAACCCCTGTCCTGATGGCGCTTGCATGCACCCTTTGGTGTCAACTAGTCCTGCCCTCTGCTCATCCGCTCCTCCAGAGCTCCACAGAGCATGATCTCCCACGTAAACCTTGGCCCAGCCATCCAAGCCGGCTGCAAACACATGGGTGGCTTTTATATATAGAAACCTAGCAGCACGCTAATAACTAGCTAGATAAGGAATAAATGATTCGCAACCTGCAGAAGAAAAATGACTCCCCTCGCCCTGCCGCAAGAGGCTTTAAAGATTGTATACTGTGGTGTAGGTGACGTTGGTCCTGCCTACACGCATGAATTCAAATGTTCCCTGAATTAGCAGGAACACTTCATGTGGCATTCAGCGAGGGGGGCCGCCGGCTCCCAGGGTGTTGCATTAATGATGATTCACAGTTCAGAATCTAATCGCAGAGGATAAAAATAGCCAGCTTCTACTTAGAACAATTCATTATACAACAGAGCTTGCTCCAGCCTCCTTCTGCTGCTCGCTTTGCCCCGGGAAGGTTCCCACTGCTGACAGGAAGCTTTGTCCCAAGGGTGGTGGGTACCAGGCAATGCTGCCCACCCTGAGCTGCTGAGAGGAGCCTAAGCCAGGATCTCCTGAGGAGCACCCATGGGGTTTATGTGGACTTCCCATAATGTGGCTGTGATGCTGTCATCAGCATCATACCCACATTACGTGGATGTATCCACATACATGGAGGTATGACAGCATCACACCCACCCTTTGCCCCTCACTTTCTCTCTGCACAACAGTGGAGGGAGACAGTGGTTTCAGCAAGTCATGGGTCTCGTCTACCTGCAGCACCTCCTTAGGAGGTGGGTGAGTTGCTTTACAAGGGCCCATATGCCCATTGCCTGAAGGTGTCCCAATGGGCTCACCCAGCTCATCTACAAGTCCAACTTCCAGGCAGTTAATGCTGCATGAAGCAAACCCCAGCACGGGCTACATTAGCACAGGTGCTTAAGAGAGTGTGCAGCACTGATTTCTGAATGCTACTGAGTCCCATGTCACCGGTGGAATGATCTCCTCACATCTCACTTCATGTGTAAATAAGTGCTTTGTGCCTTTTTAATGTGGAATCCCAAGGTCTTGTGAGAGCTGAATAGTGCCCCACAGCCCTGGGACCCTCAATAGTCTCCTGCTTGTTCTTCAGGCAAAGGGATATCTTTGCTGGGACTGCCAGCAAAGATGAGGAGGAGCAGGATCTGACTGGGGCCATCCCAAAACAGAGGATGATAATTTTTCTTCCTTATATCGTCTAGATACTATTCCTTCTTTCTTTCTTCCTCTCCTTCCTCCTTTCTTTCTTTCTTTGGTAGCAGCACAACCAAATGCTGTGAAAAAATGGCTGCAGTATGACAAAGATCTTTGGCTGCAGGTGTTGACTAAGCTGGAGGAGCAGATGAACTCTTTAGAGAGGCAGAGACCTTATTTTCATGCAAATGTCACTGGTAATATAATCATCTCTCAGGGGAACAAAACCCCAGAAACTTTACAACCTATTTGTCCCTAAATAGAAGTTTCTCAAAGTTCTCCAGAAGATGGGATCTGCTCTGAAGAAGGAAATGCAAAGCATTAAGTAGGTCAAAGGAGGCAAATGAAGGCAAGACAAATAAGGGAGAGTTTCCAGGAGAGTTGATGAGATGGAGTGGAAGGACCAGTGAGCAAAGGTCACTGTTTTGGTACTCACCTGCAGTCTCTGCTCCCTTACAAAGCACTTACGGCACATGCTGGTGACAATATGATGCATGTTCCAGCTTGTCTGGAAGAGCAGCTAATGAGGCCATTTGGGACCCAAACTGATTTGTTCTGGTCTGTGCTGTTCAATAGGCCTGGAGGGGTGTGTGTGTGTCTGCAAGGACCTCCATGGAGCAAACAGATGATGAAAAGCACTTAACATGACTGCTCTTCCTTGCTTATGCTGTGACTCCTTGGGATGGAGGTTGTCCACACTTGCACTGACAACTTTTGACTCAGAAGGCGGCAGGCCACTCTGCTTGGCCTTCTGTGCTATCACCCTGCCCCACACCACCAGCCAGGTCATAGAATCATCACAGAATCCCAGACTGGTTTGTGTTGGAAGGGACCTTAAAGTTCATCCAGTTCCAACCCACGGCCAGGGACACCTTCCACTAGAGCAGGTTGCTCCAAGCCCCATCCAACCTGGCCTTGAACACTGCCAGGGATGGGGCAGACACAGCTTCTCTGGGCAACCTCATGACCCTCACAGTGAAGAACTTCCTCCTAATATCTAATCTCAATCTCCCCTCTGTCAGGTTAAAGCCATTCCCCTTGTCCTGTCACTGCCTGCCCTTGTAAAAAGTCCCTGTAAAAAGACAGGATCCTCCTGTCTCACTGTGTACCAGAGCAAACAACAGCCCCAGGACCAGCAGGACATGGACTAAACAGATGATGGGGAGGTGAGGACAACTGGGAGGGCAGGGACAGGCTCCTTGCCCTGGGTGTTTATGGCACAGCAGCAGCGGGGTGCTCCAAAAGGGGATGTCTGCAGCACCACCAGGTCTCTGCAGCTTTGCAAGGACGTTGCTTTGCTCCAGGGCAGATGTTCCTATTGCCTAAACACCCAGAGGAAGCTAGGTGGAGCCTGTGATTGGGATGCAGGATGGAGAAGCTCTCCCGCAGCGGATTTGCTCAGCGCCTGAGACAAAGGGGTTGCCCTTTGCCTGAGGGTCCTGGGGCAAGGGGAAGCAGGAGGGGAATAACCAGGAGCTCCCTCTGCCATTCTCTTCCCAGAGAACAGACTGAGGCTCGTCTGCAGCCTCCTGTGTGTTCCAAGCTGCGGGAGCACTTCCTTTGTCTCGAAGTAGGTCAGCGCGGAGGCGTGACGTTACTATAGCAATCGGAATTAGATTTCATAACTTTATTTTAGTGATGGGCGCCTTGCAGGATTCACTACAGGATGGAGGCAGGGTTGTCATTGAAACACCCTCTCCAGCTCCCCTTGCTCCCTCCTGCTCTGCTGCCCCTCGTACCACAAGCACACAGATCTGTCTGACCACCCTGTACCCCCCTTGGCTCCCAAAGCCATCCCCGAGCCATACTGTACCTCTCACAGCTTGCTGGGCTTGGGGTCTAGGCCAGGTTCAGCATCCTGTGCACCTTGTGTCCCTCCAGAGCTGTCCCTCATGAAGACCTGCCAGGCAGAGAGAAAGAGGAAAACATCCTCAGGTCACAAAGAGCTCAGTGATGTCTTCCTGCCAAATGTCCCAGGCCATAACTGTGATGCTGCAAAGACGTGACAGCTCTGACTGACACCCAGGTTGTCTTCAGTAAGTCCTAGCAAAGGCACAAGGCGAATTCAAGAAAGCATCCTACGTGCAGAGGTGAGGCAATACCCGTCGGAAGGGCGGGAGATGCATCAAAGGGTCCCAGGTATCTCCATGCTGCACGTGGGCTGAAAGGACAGACTGCAAACCACCTGGGTGAAAAGGAGAGCATGCAAAATGCCTGGGCTCCTCTCTCGGGGGCACAGGACTGCCAAAGTGCTCTTTGACTTTCCTGCCTTTGTTTCTTTGTCATGGAATAATCCCTCAAGAGGCCCCTTTGCTGTCCCTTCATTTCTTGGCTGTGCCAGGAGCTGACTGTCCTGAGCAGGGCTGATTCCGTAACCCTCTGTGCCTCATCTTCTGGGCTGATCACTTTGCTCTGAGCCATGGCAGAGCAGTCTGGTAAGGCAGAAGGGACAATCCTGGGGCCAAACCCCCTGACTGGGGTGGCAGATGGCAGCCAGGTACCTTTGGTGTCCTATCTATTCACCTGCCAAAACCTGCCTCTTGCTCTCACCTACCAGCGCTGCTCATTAAACCTGAGCAGCTCACACTGTACATCTCTTCCATCTGGTCACTAGGTGCTACTGTATCGCAGCTAAAGCGCTGTGCTTCCTTCTTCATTGTCATTCACCATCAGCTGCACTGCAAACAACTGACAAAAATGTTCCCTTATGAAAAGCAAAGTAAATAAATACGGGGGGGGGGGGGAACCAGCCCCTGGTGTTTCTTGGTGTCCTCAGAAATCTGTGCATTGCAGCAGAGATCACAGCCTGAATTATTTATTATATCATTATTTATTTATTTATTCTAGAATTATTTATTTATATTATTATTACAATCAGTGAGACTAAATATTATTTGGGGTTTACATCAATTAATTCCCATGGTAGGCATGTTTGCTCTTCTGCATTGAGAAGAGGCAGGCGCGATGCTGGGACAATCTGGGGAGCTCAGCTTTTCGCTGCTGAGAAGCAAGGGATGGGAATGACACATCCCTTGCTCAGAAATGTGGTAAGACAAGGTATGACGAGTCTGCGTGCTGCAGAAGGGCCACACAGTGGTAATTGCATTGATACCACCCAACCTTTTCACAGCTCTCTCCACATAAAAAGTGAATTCCACCTACTAGTCAGTTGAGTTAGGTTTGAGCCAGTAATCCGGAGCCTGCAATAGCCATTATCACAGCCAGTATCCATGGCTAGTGGTACCTACAGCCATCTGCAGCATCAGCATCCATCTGCCAGAGCAAAGCCACTGCTCTTCTGCTCTAATGCCACTGGTACTGCCATGAAGGGTAACACTGTGTATTAGAGCTGCTCATGTCCACCATGAAAGTCATGAGCATCCGTTGTCAGTGCTGCCAGCATCCCTCCTGGGTGCACAAGTATCCACCACTAGTGCCCAACGCCCTGTATCACACCCAGTACCAACTTGTGCTGGAAGTACCTGTTCAGTGCTACCGTCACCCATCATGTCTATGTCTGTCACCAGCCATCTCAGGGTATTCCTGAGATCCTCTAGGAATGGTGCTGATATTGGTATCCCTTGGCATAGGGTGACTCTGACGGATGGGAGGAGCAGTGCCTGGACTCCAGGCCTCCACCCACCCAACAGGTTCCTCTAAATAGAAGCTGCCACTGAAGCTTGAGAGGAAGGAATATTTTTGCCTGTAATACTGCTCTCGTCTTTGCGTGCTACTGTTGCACCGAGAAAGCTGTGCTATAATTACCTTTAATTAATATCAGCATCAATGCCCCAAGGAAATGCAAATGAACGATTGTGCCACCAGCACAATGACATTAAGCTAACTCCCAACGATCCACCTCCATCATCCCCCTCTTTCTCCTGCTCTCAGGAGCAGCTTGCTTTACATCACGGCTGCTCTGTGGAGCGGGTGGGATTGAAGACAACATAGAGTCATGGAATCAACCAGGATGGAAAAGACCCTTAAGATCATCAAGTCCAACCATTCCCCAGCGCTGCCAAGGCCACCATTACACCACGTCACTGAGGGCTTCATCTACACGCTTTGAAGGACACACAGCACTATGAGAGGTGGTGTAACCCCAGGGAAGTGGATTGCAGACCAAGGGGAGTGGTGGGGAGCAGGGGGCAAGCAGGGGTCCCTGAGGGAATGAAGGCACAGGATGCTGTGAAGAGCACAGCCAGGCATGCAGGCTGCCAGTGATGGCAAGCACTGTTGAATGCAATGCTCCCCTCCTCCTGCTATCATCCCCAACTTGAGTTCCTTCTAATACTTTGCCTTACAGACTCTAAGTTCAGATAGTCATTACAAACTTCTGGCCTGCTTTCCTTTATGCAATAGGCCATAGTATCCTTCTGTGCAAATCCTGCAACAGAAATGAAGACAACAAATATGTGTGTGTTCCTGTACCTCTAATCTCATGACCATTTCTCTGGATAAAACAAACACATTTAGGTCTTGTGGGTCTCCCAGAAAGAATGAGATTTTGTATGAAGGATGCCTGGGGCCTGATACGAGTTATCACTGCCTCACATTCAAGAAAGGCAGAGATGCTGGGGAGAGCGCAGATGAGATGTGGCTGTTAGGAAGAGGAGAGATTTGTAGCCAGCATCATGATTCTGAAGGAGGCATGAATGGAAAAGCACCAGAGGAAACAACCAGGCAAAGGTGGGAGGAGTGGCAAAGTCCTGCTGAACTGTGAGGAACGTGTTCCTCTCTCTGAGCGGAGCTGGCAGAGGCACACTGACGTTGCAAAGGTCCCCACGCAGATGATTTGTCAGCAGAAGAGTTCTGTTTGGGTCACAGGAGGAGGGAAACAAGGTTACAGCACACTGCATGTGCCGTTCCCCTTCCTGCTCTCCCAACAGGAAGGTACCCTGGACACACAGACAATGCACATTAATCTTGCCTGTGATTTATGATTTAAGCAAGAGGGTGAGGCAAAAGATCCACCCATGGTGACCGCTGACTACCAGAGGGTGTAAAAGACTGATCCCAATCCCACATCATAGTCAATCAAAAGGAACCTCAGAGACATAGAGGGGACCTGACAGCAGCTCTGAGGTTCTCATTGGCAGGATGGGGGACAGAGCTGGATGGAGCAGAACTGAGCCGCTCTGCTGCATGCAGTCAGATAACCGTGCACACAGTGGTACCCAGCAGAGAAGAGGGATGCTCTTACTGAGGGAACCCACTGACGAGCTGGGTGTCACGTTCCTTCCCCAGGACCCAGATACACTGGGTATGCACAAGCCTGTGATCACTGAGGAGGGATTCACTAATCCACACTAATGATGGACCTCAGAGACTCCTGGGCATGTGGAGGGTGGTGGTGAGGCTCTGGGGGAGAAGGTGGCTCCTGTGGCAGTGCCTGGCTGGCAGCATGGAGGTTCAGCAGCCCATGAGATGCTGTTCAGGATGGACACCTTCCTCTGAGGGCATGGGGGGCAAGGAGGGTGTGGGACAGGATAGGAAACAATGAAGGAGAAGGGCAAGCAGAAGGGACGGAGGAGCCTTCATTAACGTGACATCATGATGTTGAGAATAAAATCGGTCCAGCCAGCAAGGGACCCAAAGAGAAGAAATGCTTTAATTGCCTTCACACTGATGCCAGGAAGCCTGGATAATGCACTCTGCTCACATATGGACAGGAATTCGACCTAGTTGTGCTCCCAAAATCTGGTGAGGAATGTTGCATAATTGGAGTGTTAAAATGAGCAAATGTTAAAATCAACGCCTTGAGGGAGGAACGAGGGCGCGAAGAGGGACATTGAGTGTCATGGCCCACAAGGTCAGCTTTTGAGTCATAACCACCTGTAAGGCTTACAGATCTGTGTCCTGGCAGAGGAAGTAGAAGAGGAGAATGTACGGGATCTTCCACAACCCACCAGCTCATCCCGCTGAGCCTGCCAAGCATCTTTGTGACATGCATGGGAAAGAGGTTGCCTTGTTATGAGGAACTTAACTGGAGAGACTTGTGCTGAGGGCTGTGTGCTGAAACACGGCTGCAAAGAGGAGCCTTGGAGCCATGTCCTCTGCTGCAGCCTGCAGCTCTGCAATGTCTGTTCTCTCTGCTTTCCTCACCCAGGGAATACTGAGGAGCCTGCTCTTGGCTGGGGTCCTGCTGCAAAGTGCCTGTGTCCTGACCACGGGGCTCCATGGGAGGAAAGCCTACTCTTACGCAGCAGAGCAGACCTGAACGACCTGCCCATGCTCCTTGCTCTCCCTTCCTGGCACTGCTCGTCTGCTCAGGCTAACAGGAGATGGAGAGCAGCATCTCTCTGGGACTGGACACAACCTGATCCAGCAAAAATTCCCTAAAGCAGGTCTGCCACACAACCACTCCTATAAGGAAGCCTTGTGCTTGTGCAGCTCCCGCTGGAAAACCCTTACCCTTGTCCCTTCACTGGCTCTGGCACCACACTGTGCTATGAGTGCTCTGGCCAAGCTTCTGGCCTGACCTCTGGGATAACCTGTATTGCCTAACTGGGTGCCCCTGAGGCAGGAACACTTGGACCTTCCCAGGGCAGGCTCCTGCTCTGTGCTTCTTGCCTGATGTGGCCGCTGGCTGCGCCTTTGCAAGGGATGGGAAAGAAGAAGCACACGGAGAAGCCGTCTGTGGCAAACCCAAGTAAGAGCAGGCCACGTTGGTGTTAGAAGAGAATCGACCTCCCTGCCTGCGGTGGATCAATGTGCTGCTGCTCCTTGGGATGTGCCGGGCGGGTGGCTGTGGGTCGGTGCTGGATGAGAGGCTGTGCTTCACACGCCCGCACTGCTGAGCAGAGGTGTCCTCTCTGTGGTATGGAGGATGCTGTCGCTCTGATGGCAAGAAGAGCTCTGCAGGTGCCTGCCTTTAACAAGATGAGTAATTCCCTTTTA